CCCAACAAGACCAAAATAATGACGAACAGCACAAATTTTAACATCACAATAAACGGCGATACTCTAAAATATGTAAAAGACTACATATATCGGGGTCAAGTAATTTCCATAGAAGATCAAATGACGAAAGAAATTAACTTTAGGATCGCAACAGCTTGGAAGAAATACTGGTCATTAAAAGAGATCATGAAGTCCAAAGACTTAAGCATGTCAATAAAAAGGAAAGCATTTAATACTTGCATTTTACCTTGTCTAATATACGGATGCGAAACCTGGACCCTCACAAAGGCATTGAGAGAAAAACTTGCAGTGGCACAAAGAGCAATGGAGGGGAGTATGACCGGCTATAAAAGACAGGATAAGATCAGAAATATTGACCTTAGGAATTTAACGAAACTTACTGACATACTCAAACGAATCGATCAACAGAAGTGGAGATGGTCAGGACATATGATGCGTGACAAGATGGGAAAGTGGAGCAGGAGAGTAACAGAATGGTATCCAAGGGACAGCAAAAGAAGACGAGGAAGGCAGCATGCAAGGTGGGAAGACGAAATAAAACTTACAGCAGGACCAAACTGGAGAAGGGTTGCTCAAGATAGACAACAATGGAAATTGTTGGAGGAGGCCTTTGCCAATAGGCACGCCGAACTAAGAGACATTTTATAGTTAGTAGATTCTTTTATCTTAAGTTTTAATGTTAAATGCTATTAGATCGGAATAAAGGGCTTTATTATTATTTTTATTGGTGGGTATCTATATAGTTTTCTCATCTGGTTGGGTTCTATAAATATATAATTATAAATAACATGAAAAGATAAACATACATAAATATCAATAAAATAAAATAAATATGAAAATACATAAATAAATAAAAGCCCAACCAGATGGAAGCCCTCGGCAGGGGAGACCAAACGGCCGAGGGTTAGGGGGAAAGGGAAAGAAACCGGCGGACGATGCGGGCGGTATCGAGGAGCACCGCCTTTTGCATTTGAGCCCGGAGCGGTCCGCCACGTAGTCCCAGCCGCCTCAGATGACCCGAGAGGCTGACTGGGATTAGCCCGTTTGCAGAGACGACTACAGGAATAATTTCGGTCGGCAGACCACCCCACATGTCGGTCACCTCGTGAGCCAGGTCCAGATATTTTGTTTGCTTGTCCGTTTCGGCTTTCACGAGGTTCTCGTCATACGGAATGGTAATGTCGACCAAAAATATCCTTGACTGTGCCCGGTCCATCAGCACAATATCAGGCTTATTCGCAAGAATAGTCCTGTCTGTGATGATGGCCCGGTCCCAATAGAGCCTGGCGCGATCATTTTCGAGCACGGCTTCCGGCAAGTACTTGTAATACGGCAATTTCCGATCCACGAAACCGTATTTCAGAGCGAGCTCCTGGTGAAGAATTCTGGCTACTAGGTTGTGCCTGTGCAAGTACTCAGAGTTAGAAAGCGCCGAACAACCGGAGATGACATGCCTAAGTGACTCACCGGGATGGCGACAAGCTCGACAGATGTCGATGGTGCCATCCTTTAGGATGTATCTCCGATAGTTGTTGGTCTTAATAACCTGATCCTGTATTGCACAGACAAAACCCTCGGTTTCCCCCGAAGAGATCACCAAAGCGTAGCCAGTGGAGAGAGGTTACTGTGTCTACGAAAGGCCCATGTAGAGACTTGTAGAACCTCCCATGGAGCTCCTTCTCCTTCCATACGTTCTCTCGGTCGGAAATTGTCTGCACTGCCGGGTCTTGCCATTCCTCGTTGGCTAAGGATAGAGGGGTAAGTCCTTTATCACAAGAAATGACGTACCTATAAAATGGAACATCCTATCTCGTCAGGAAGTAATTACGGAGGCTGCACACTTCGCGATTATGCATGGTGAGCGCGCTCAAGAAGCCACGCCCACCATGCTTTCGCGGCAAGTACAGCCTCATTACCGACGATCTCGGATGATGCATCCTGTGGGACGTCATGGTAGTGCGGACTTTTCTATCCAGGGCGTTAAGTTCAGTCTGAGTCCACCTGAGTATGCCAAAGGTATACATGAGGACAGGCATGACCCAGCCGTTATATGCTTGTGTCTTATTCACACCGGACAAAAGGCTGTTAAGCACTTTGGTCAAGCGTGCATAAAACACGTCGCAAACTGACTGTTTCATACCAGCCTCATCGATACCGATGTTCTGTGACATACCCAGGTATCGGTATGTTTCAGCCTCGGAAAGGGTCCTTAAGTTGACGGGCATAGATAAGTCTATGCCCTCAGAGTTAGCAACCCTCCCCCTTTCAACATGGAGGACCGCACACTTATCCGTCCCCAGCTCCATTCCAATGGAATTGCTAAATTCACAAGTGATGTTTAGCAGTTCCATAAGATGGGAGCGACTGGAGGCGAATAACTTGAGGTCATCCATATAGAAAAGGTGGGTCACTTTTGTCCCTCCTTTCCGAAGCTGAAATCCCCTCCCGGAGCCCTCCAGTAAGGTACTGAGAGGGTTCAGAGAGAGGCAGAACCAGATTGGACTCAGACAATCGCCCTGGAAGATACCCCTTCTTATCCTTATGTGGTTCTCCGCAGCCATCATCCGCTCGCCCAGATGACAAAGGATCGTACTCCATTGCCCCATACACTGCTCGAGGAAGTCTCCAACTGTACAGTCAATCTTGTACAGCTCGAGGACTCTCTTTAGCCATGTATGGGGCACCGAGTCGAATGCCTTTCTGTAGTCTATCCAGGCGGCGGAGAAGTTCCGACGGTTGCGTTTCACCACTTTGCCAATGACCGCGTCAATGAGGAGTGGTTCCTTGGTTCCACGACCGCCGCCCCGACATCCATTTTGAGCGCGTGACATCACCTGATTTGAGCTCCAGGTGACGAGTGATTCTCGCGCTCAAAATGGATGTCAGTGTCTTATATATGGTCGGTAGACATGTGATGGGGCGGTATTTGCTCGGGTCTGTGGTACTCTGGCCTTTAGGAACCAAATGGGTGATCCCAGTAGTGAAGAGGCTCGGGAGCGACTTCTGGTCGAGAGCCTCTTGAAACTGTCGGGCGAGCACAGTGTGACACACCACGAACCCCTTCAGCCAGTAGTGATGCAGCCCGTCGAGCCCCGGACTTTTCCAGTTCGGGGCCCTACGGATCGCCTCAGCTACGTCATCCGGCGTTATGGTGACGGGGTCCATGGGCGTAACACCCGCACACTGACTCGCCACAACTTCCGTCCAAGGACCCTCGCTGTGGTTTACGGGCTCTGACCACAGGCTGCGCCAGAATGCGACCGTGTCGGCCTGATCCGGTCCTGGGCCCGCTCCACATACCATTGGTCGCTCCAATGATTTATAGAGCCTCTTCTGATCACTCTGGAAGAGACGATTCTGGTTGAACCGTGTCGACCTCTCGCTATATCGTCGAATTCGCTTTCCCCAAGCAGCGATTTTTTGCTTCAGGTCGTCTATGCGCTCCGTCAGTTTTTGCATTATATCCGGCTGGGACAAACTAATATTTGTCCCAGCAAACGCCATCCTGACGGTGCGCACAATCCTTGGCCTGGTATTGCCTGACCTGAAGCATATCAGTCTGCCGATGAGGGCCCTAGCCTTTGCGATACGTTCTTCAATTCTTGTTCTCCAGGCTGGGATAGCGCTACTTTGTCCAGTAGTGCGTCCCGCCGCGGCAAGTTTTGTGCCTATAATACGGCAGACTGCCAGTGCGGCGCCAAAAAGAATTGAGTCCGTCTCGCAAAGGTCCCGGCTGGCTTCCAAATAGGTCACCAGCATTGGGTTCAGAGCCCTCACGACAGCCCGATTTCGTTTGCTTAGGGGTATGCGGGGAAGTCGCGGTCGATTTTCGAGAGGCGTGCTGCGCGTTTCCAGCATCGACTCTTCCAATGTACTCCTCATTTGCTCTTTTCTAGTTCGTGGGTGACTGTTCCATCATCGTTTGAATTAGCAACCACTGGGGTATTCTCGGCGGCACCCACGTGTGCGGTTTGTTGCGCATCTTGTGGCACCGCATTCCCTAGCCGTAGCGTTTTCATTTGATGAGGGAATAGCCTCACGTCGTAGCCGCTCGAGTTCGGCGTCACCAAATATGTTTGAGCGTAAGATGTACCGAACTCGGTCTGCCAGGTTTTGCTCGGTGACGGATAGAGATGGCTCCAGCTCAGTAAAAAGACGATGCATCCGAGCCCGATACGCGAAACATCCAGTTTCTCCCCCTTTTGCCCTAAAATACGCCCGCAGTGCGTTTGAATTCATATTGATGTAGTCCAACGCATGCGGCGTACTCCACCAGCGGCGGGTGCCGCTTGCTGGGTCTGCGAAGACCCAGCCGACACCAAGCAAGCTGGTGGGGATGATGGATGCGAGGGGCTGCTGGGTGGTCTTGCAGCACCCCGCGCTCGGCTGGCGGTCCGCATGCTGTCGCGTCCAGCGCCAGCTCCAGACGCGCCCTGACGACCTCCAGGCAGCGGCCCTTTGCGCAATCTTCTTTGTTCCATCATCCATACAGGGCGTCATTTACGGGGGGCGTTTGGTGATTATTATTATTATTAATATTTACATGTACATGGACGATCGGACTTCAAGAGTTCTAAGAAATTAAAAATTCTCGGATATGGCACCTATTGAGATACATTTTGAAAGTAAAACATTATTTCAATCAAAACATTAAAATTTCATTAAAATCCATAAAACTGTTTCTGAAAAATGGATATACGAAAAGTCCGCACGGTTCTATCTTAGCCGGCTGAAGTTCGTCCTGAGTGGTTGCGCAGATATTGTTTTTAGGAATGGACGGTAAGTAAAGCTAGAGATGCGAATACGCATATTATTTCGCGGTAAATAATCGATTATCAACGTATTTTTTTGGCAGTCTTTACCGGCGAGTGTGAGCATAGATAGCGACAGTGTGCGAGCGAGAGGTGAATAGAGGCGACGGTATTTTCAATGCCATTGTATAACCGCACGGGTAGTAGATGGAGTTATTAGTGTAGTACCTGCGGCGCATGCTGCGCGTGCTGCGGGTGCGCGTGGTGCGCAGCATCGCGCAGCGCGGCGAGGCGCAGGCGTGCGGCGGCGAAGGTAGGGCGCTGCGCGGGGTCGGCGTGCCAGGCGGCGCGCATCACGTCGTACGGCCCGCCCGGGCAACCCTCCGGCGCCTCCATGCGGTACCCGCGCTCCACGTGCCGCACCACCTCCGCCAGCGGCTGCGGGACGCCCACGCTCATCATCATCCACAACACAACACCCACGTGTCAGGCGAAACCAAATATTCATTTCATATAATTTCTACGATTTCAAATGATATAAATTCCTTATTTGTATGTTTTTACATATCGAAAAATCAAGTTTTTAATTTACAAAGACCGATCCAGAATATTCCATTAATTGAATAAGAACAAATAATCTTACGCTAAACCCAGAATGTCGCAAGTTAAAACTATGTTGGACTTATTTGTTACGCAAATGATAATACCATGTAATCATTATTGAAAAGTTGCAATTGAATTAAAGTTTTTAAATTTCTCATCTGTGTATAAATAAGAATGCATCAGTGCCTACATTTTTTTAAATCTTGAGTGCCCTCATTATTATTCTATATTCTGATCGACTCATAAAAATTCCAGTACTATACTTGAACATTCTTCATACTACAAGGAAGAGCCTAATAAACACACATCACAATCACAAAAAATACTCACAATTCTTGGATATGGCACTCTTCCGAATGAATAAATCTCCCAAAGTAGAATTCCAAAACTCCACATATCTGACTTGTTTGAAAATTTCTGTAAAAAATACAACAAATGGATATAAACCTTAGTAAAAAATAAGTCTAATAAAAATAACATGTAATAATAAAAAATAAAACTAAGTCAAATAGAGTTTGCGCAATCATAAATAACAAACACATATGTATTATTTAATTTTGGGGGTGTTACATATAATACACGCTCGCTAAACCTGAACTAGATTAAAACATATTTGAGATAAACTGGGAAGAAAATAAAAACCAGAATCAATTGATTTTAGAGATTCACAAAAACGCAATAATAGAAGGATGGATTTGAATTCCATAAAATTTTATCAATTATTATAAAATATTCCTACATGAAAAACCAGTTTTGACAGAAAAAGTTTATAACTGTGTCTGTGGTATTTTATGAGCACCGGTGGAAACGACCCATTCGTGCTATAACTATAATATAACTGTAGCGTGGCTCTACCACGTATGCTTCGTTTCCAGTAAAAAGGGTGTTCGTTTCTCTACAACACAGCAGCTAAAATGCTAGTGAAGCGTTAAGATGAGTAGTGTAGTAGCAGTAGGTGGTGGCATACGCACGTTGTACTTGAGCGCCTCGGGCGCGGTCCACTTGATGGGCAGCTTGGCCTGCAGGCGCACGGCGTCGGCGGGGTCCTCGGGCGCGGTCTCGGGGCGCGCGAGCCCGAAGTCCGCCACCTTGGCCGTGCCCTCCGCCGAGATGAGCACGTTGCGCGCCGCCAGGTCGCGGTGCACCACCCGCTGCCGCTCCAGGTACTCCATGCCGCAGCACGCGTCGCTGCACACATACATTATTACATACATTAAAAAAATTATAATCTATATCAACATATTCACTGTCCCGTGACCCACATATGAATCATTGCTTTTGTCTTACTAATAATAATAATGTCCTCCAGACCGAATTTCGGTCACAACGGCCAGCCTCAACGTAGACTAGCCATCGGCGCAGGACAGGATTATAGTGCCCAAGTGCGCAAGCACAGGTGCACTCTCTATTCCCTCACTCTCATAATCCGATGGGACGGTAAACCGACACGACAGGCTTTACGTGCTTTTCGAGGCACGGGAGTGACACCGTCAACTTCCTGACTCCGGGCAGCTACTGAGAATTTTTTGACGGAAAAACTCTTTTTGGCCCGACCCGGGATTCAAACCCAGGACCTCATGACCAGCAGTCGTACTACTACAACCACTAGACCAATGGTCTTATTTTTGTGTCTGGAAACCGTACAGTGAAAGTGTTAATCCATAATGATTAAAAGCTTGTACTTCTCGTCTGGTCCTATATAATGTTTTCAAGATAATATGACAAGTAGTTTTTGAGATATCCTTAATAATGCGTATTTAATTGACTTCGAATACATTGATGTTCTCATTTTATTTATATTGAAGTTGGTTGCAAAAAATGTTTAATTTTGCAACTTGTTTAATAAAACTGAAAGTAATAATCCGGACGCGTTCAGAATGGGACGACCTTTTAGAACTGAGGCACGCGTTAGCTATTTAAAATTGTTACTTAAAAAGTGCACTCACTACGCGAAGTTTATCTGGTCGAGCTGCGTGACGTAGTGTCGCCCGCGACTCCGCAAGTAATCCAGCAGCGAGCCCTGCGCGCAGTGTTCCGTCACTATGCACGTGCTGCCGTTCGAGCTGAACACCACGCAACCCAGCAGCCGGACCAAGTTCTCGTGTTTCAACGAACTGCAAACAAATAATTAGATCATTTTTAAGTAATCAAATGAGTGTGGTATTGTCTCTCGTCTCCATCTACCAGTTTTCGAGTTAAGAACGAAAGTAAGCGGGATTACAATATTAAGGTGGAACCTACGCACTGCTCCCAGCCATTCTCCCGCAAGATGGCGCAGAAGTCAACATTTTTAGTTTATTTGGGTTTTTGTGTAATTGGAAAATTAAGTCGTAGGAGTAGACTTTGCGGTTATCGGATATTACATTTTATTAGAATGGGTCATATCATTGCCTCAAAATCCACCCAATTCAACACAAAGTTTGATTATAACATCTGTCATTGAATATAGTGTCGTCTTTGACTAGAGAAAAAAGAAAGGACATGACATACCTACGAAAATAACGTGTATACCTAAACTGAATCTGGCACAAAGATGGCGGCTTGACGTAGTGCTGCGTACTATATTTAATATCGATAATGTGGCGCTTATTTAGAAAAAGATTCTTTCGTGTGACTCAAACACCCGTGTGGTCTTAAATAGGTTTTTTTTTAATCAATATGACGGATTTTTGGCGCCAAATTGTAAGTTCTTAATTTTTTTTACACAACCTATCGATAGGGGTAACAAAATAAATGAAATTAAAAGGAGATTACTGAAAAGAATGAATAAGTTATACCTATGTTTTCAGTTCATTACTTTCAAGCAGTCGTTTTTGTTTTTATAATGTAACTCTATCAATTACATTATAATAATCTATAATTAATGTTACAATTATTTCCCGGGAATTACTTATCAAGAAATACTAATTAAGGAATTTTTGATTGTTTGTTATACAATAAATTAGGCTCAGTCATCATACTTACACTAATCAAACTATAATAATTGCAAAAGTTTGAATGTTTGTTCCTCAATCACGCCAAAAGTATCACCGTTTGATGAATAAATTGGCCATGTTATTACCTAATTAACATATAGGATACTTTTTATCCCGATTTAGAGGTCCCGAGGAATAGAATAAGAAATACCGTAATAATCGAATTCCACGAGAGAAACATATGAAAACACACTCACCTCACTAAAGTCGCATTGACATCTGATATAGTTGTCATTGACTGTGACAAAACATGGCGCCCGGCCGTAGCGAAAATATTGTTGAAATATTTGGTAATGATAAAACTACTGTTGTCCTTTTTTACATACGAATATACTCATAAGCTAAAAAGAGACGCCGATATTTGGTTGCATTCCTACAACTAACGATCTTTATGTCATGTCTTTTCTTTCTTCTCTAGTCAAAGAGTGTCGTTTACACACACACACACAGACGTATGGGACGACCTTTTAGAACTGAGTTTACGAAGCTTGAACGCTAGATGGCGTGTATATAAAAAAACAAGTTTTTAATTTTTCTGTATGTGTAGATTGAGTAGGCAGAACTACAAAACGCTATGTACGATTGTTATAAAAATAAAAGTTATATTTGTGGGCGTAAACTATTTAATTGATTTATAACTTTGGGAAATAAATTATGTCAACATTGATTACAATATAACGCGGTTTTATTTTCTTACATTACACTATTGAATTTTTTATCTAAACGGAAGTACCTATTTGAAGCAACATAATTATGCTGATACATGCCTATTCACTCAAAACTAATAACACTGATGTTTTGTAACAGTACAAATTATTACAATAATTAGACATTTCATAACCAGCACGTAAGAAACTATTTACTATTTTTTAGAAAAAAGGATTTTATGTAACTGAATTATATTTGTTTCTGAACGCACCATAACCGTGAATGTAACAAACTAATAATGTGTGTCGGTCTGAAACTGTTTGCAAAATGCGTAAAAGGTGTTTAATGTAACCCGGCAAAACCATATTTAGCAAATGTTTGAAAGTTTAATTTTGTGACTACTTTGGTAGTTTACCGATTTATAATAATTGTATTTATTGTTGACCAAAAACACATTCAAACACATTCATATATGAAACACTGACACGTATGACGTAGGTAATCAGTATTGTGACGATATTTCAGAAAAATCACGGGCTAGCCTACTGTTTGTAATACCACCGAAAACATAATTGCGTTTTTAGAATAATAATAATACTATACACCCACGATAAATTACAATATAGTGTCAAATATATACTAGAGAAATATTGCAATTCGAATCAATGAAAATATGTATAATACACAAGAAATTCCGCGCGCAAATCATAGCGCGTGACAACCGAAATCAGAATGGGGGGGGTGTTTTGAGGTTTTTTTTTTGTAAAAATTCAGGGCTTTATTTTTATAACAAGTCAAACAAGTAAACGAAGTTTGTCAACGCTTTTTTTTCGTCAATTCAAGGTCAGGAAGAACGGCATCGTCGCTCTACCTACGACTTTTGGTATTGTTGTTACACAACAATAATAAGTAATAAAATTGTTTACAAAAAAACATAGGTGTCTAAGGTCATTCGTTTTATGTTATTTTGTACTGTTTTTTTAACGGTTGGAAAGGAAATTAACCAATTATTGAACTTAAGATATTGATTTATCAGAATTATTTAAGATCACTTGCATGCCATTTAGCGTGCCAATGTTTAAACGTCGCCTTTCTTTTGCTTTTCTCAAAAGTCACGCACACTACTAAAGAAGTGTCAAATTTTTCCGGGATTTTACTATTGTTGTTCTTAATGTAAGGTATTGCCTATAAAGGTCAAACGCGTACACATTTCATTGTAGAGAAGTGATAAAATGATTAGTTTTATAGAAAGAGTGTTTGTGTTTAGTGTATAATTTGATTAAAAAATGTATGGACGGACGGCCGACGCTTCCACCTTAACGGAGACTGAAAGTCTGAAAAAAAAACAGAAGTTTCCGGAGTTACCCTACTCTTAACTCAACTGTGATAAGTTTACTTATCAGTTTAATTTTTTATTAATGCGTGGGCCATGGTCACACTACGCGCAGCCTCTCTGTAAACAAGGAACGTGGCATGCAACGTGCCGTGATTAAACGTGGATTAATGGCATGGTTAAAATAATATATTAGCATTAATATATTAGGCAAAAATTTTAATTTAAAATTTTAACCATTTTAACTAATATTAACCAGGACTTACGACATAACACTAGCTTCCGCGCGAAACTTGCTAGCAGCCTCTCGGTCTTTCAGTATCTTAACGGCCACCTTCTGATTGCCGTTTAATATTCCCAGCATTACATCACCGAACTCGCCTTTGCCAATATTCTCTCTTATCTCAAGATCACGTTCAGGAATCATCCAGCCTAAAATAAATACAAAATTTACACGTATTAATAACAAAGTAAATTCATTATACAATATATCTGGTTGTATTCTAAACATCACTGTTCTGAAGGCTTTGGTAAGATTATTACAAATAAATTACGTTTTTTTTTTTAATATAACTAAACAACACGCATATTGGGCGCCATTTCTCAGACTGAATGCATATCACAGAAAATATTGAGGTATATTTAATGATTTCTTAGATTTCAACATGTTCAGGATCGTCCCAACCATTATATCAGATTTGATAGACCACAAACCCTCGCAAAAAAACACCGATTCTTACCAAGTATGATTCACGAGGCTATTGAAATTAAAAAACATCCTAATTTCAATAGAGAAGATGGATGGGTGCTACCATCTGCTTGTGATCCCATAATTAATAAAATTAAATCCAAACCTAAGCATACTACTGCAAAAATTCAAGATGCTGTAAGCTCCTTTCTGCGTAGATTGGACCAAAAATTATTTCTACGTTAACTATGACATTAGGACGTCAAACACTTCAGTCTCCCATTACATTTATTTACATACATTACATTTGAAAAATTAGTGATCACAGAGTTTCTAGTCGGTTCATCTATGGCATGACTAGTTTTTATTGAAACAGTGCTCTTTTGAAATTAATTTGAATGTGAAATACTTCACGCCTCTGATAAATATCTTTCTTTTTTTTTTTTTATTGATCCACCAACATTTGTATCATTCCTTACATGCTATTTAAATACAATGAAGCGATAAGAACTAAAATGTACAAATAATTACAGGCGGATACAACATGCAAATAACTTTCTCAGCACTGTGTACCTCTATTACTAGGATAAAGAAAGAATTAAAAATTGAAAGAAATTATAACTAAATACAAATAAAAATATATAGAAGCGAAAAGGAAAGAACATATTTTATAGAATGTTACAAAAGATGGTCTCTTAAGGTGCGACGGAGCTTGTTAGGTGGGTCGAAAAATATATCAATTTTATCTCTAAACTTGTTAACAAGTTTACTCAATCTAGCAATTGGGGAATTGGAGCCAAACACTGTTCTTCTATATGGTCTAGTCAATGGTGTAATCTTACGAGCGTAACGCGGGTAACGAAAGGGAACGCATATATTAAATTTACTTAAAATTTCAGGACAGTCAATAACACCACTAATAATTTTAGAAGCAAAAAATCAAATCAATAATATCCCTGCGGTTTTCAAGAGAAATCATTTTGAAATTGATCAAATTATTTTCATATGATACACGTTTCTTATTACTTCTAAATCCGCTTGCGTATGACAAATGTCTTATAAATCTTTTTTGGATCCCCTCGATTCTCAGTGAATGTGTAGCGTAATGAGGTCTCCAGACTACAGCACTGTACTCTAATATACTTCTTACCAAACTGTTAAATAAAAGAATTTTAATTCTAGCATTTCGAAAGACTTTGATATATCTTATGACAAAACCCAACATTCTAGATGCACGTTTAGTTATGTTTTCAATGTGCGGTACGAAAGTTAATTTTTTATCGAATATGACCCCGAGGTCCCTAATTTCGTCTAACTGCTGTATTTTATTACATCCAATGTGATAGCTATAGTCGATAGTGTTACTTTCGACTATAGCTATCACATTGGATGTAATATATAGATAGATGTAAAATATCAGTATATTTTCACAGAAATGCGAGATGTAGAATTACCAGGCCAGTGACGGGGAGCACGATCACAGGTACCAAGTGATTGCGTACCTGTCACGGACATCTAACTTATTAAGGTCTTTCTTTGTTTGAAACATGCTACATGGTCATTATAAAAACCGACCAATTGAGAACCCGTTCCTTTTTTTGAAGTCGGTTTAAAATATTAGGGTATGTACTTACGCGCATCGACGAACTTTTGGTGGTTGTTGACGCCGTCGGGCTGGTCGGTGGAGGGGGCGGCGGGCGCGGCGGCCGGCGGCTGCGCGCCATACGCCGGGAAGTGCGCCACGCTTGGCGTCGGCGGGTACGGCGGGGGCTGCTGCACGATACACACAAATATACATTGTTTTTTTTTTTAAATAGAATATGAGTGACAAACAACAGTCCATCTGATGGTAAGTGGACACTGTGGTCCATAGACATCTACATCTACCTTCGATTAAGAACGAATTCTCGAATAAGTACTCGTGGTTGCACCTGCATTATCAACCACGAATGGGTCGGCTCCACCGGGGAGGAACCACGCTCTCACAGAATACCAGCGTCAAATAGTAGCTTAATGCTGCTGTGCTTCGTATGGTGAGTGTAGAGAACCGGAGACCCTTTTTACTGAAAAAGAGGCATTCCACCTAAGTCCTCACGGGTGACAACGCATCTGCATTTTGATTCTTAATCGAGGATAGATGTAGATGTCTATGGGCCACAGCATACACTTACCATCAGGTGGACTGTGTGTTCGTTTGTCACCCTATTCTATATTTAAAAAAAAAATTAATGCCTCGTTTCTAGTAAAAATAATCTAGTTGTCTACACTCACCATACGTGACATTGCAGCATTAAGCTAGTATTCAGTGTGAGCGTGATCCTCTCCAGATCGGGCCTTCGTGCTACAACCATTATATAGTTGCAGCAGCGCTATACCCACATCTGCAATACACTAGCTGCGCCCCGCAGTTTCACCCGCGTATAATATCACCAAGGCCTGATTTACCCACAGGCTAACTAGCCTCGAGCCTAAGGCGCAAGGTTTGAAGGGGCGCTGAGCTTGCCTTTGCAAGCACCACTTATGTACAAAATAAAATTTAATAATATGTAATAATGATAAGACATTGAATTATTTGGTAACTTTCGTCTTTTGTTAACTGGACGTGATTCGAAGATTTTAAACTTCTCAAGCTCTCTACTCCACCTCAAATTTTATTAAGGTGTTGTACCAAGACTGTTGAAGAAAACTTCTGTGAGCTATTTGTTCCATCACTGCACAGAAAGAACGACTCACTGGCCCATGCCGCAAAGCAGAAAGTCGATCTTTAAGGTACTCTTTTTAAGTCCAACCCGACCCGACGGAGGGTACACACTGCCGACCATTCCGCGGTGTTATTTCTCCAAGCTGGATGTACGGTTTACATCATTGTAGGCGTAATCCTGAACTTATGGAAGATAGCTTTGTGCAAGATTGGACAAGTCCAAGAGGCCTTGGTCGTTACTTTGGACATAGCGAATTCCTAGGATGGGCCAAACACAAAGCGCTTCTTTAGAAGCTTTCTTCCTGTGGGCCGGAAAGTTTTTAAATTGGATCATCAGTTTTCTTGCAGATCTGAGCATCGAGGTTGTAGTAGACGGTGCATACTCAGATTACGATGATGCGTGCTATCACCTATGTTGTTTCTTGTATATAAATTATATGTTGCTGTTACTGGTTGTAACACAGGTTATGCTTTTTTACCCCAGCCATGCTAATATTTCTCGGGAATAAGTCATCGAGTATCAGATCAAGCTTGTGTCTGAAGTCGAGTCTTTATTAACAAAATGTTGGATTGGAGCCTAGTCCAGTTTAAACTTCAGAAAACAGGTTTGCGCGTTTACCACTACAAAGAACCAATTTGTCTAATCTTCTCAATTTCAGGGCACTCCCCATGCTGCCTCAGCCAGCATCGGAATCCTCGCCATCGAATGACGTGCCTACAATTCCGCGGTCACTTAGAAGGAAAGGCTAAATTGGCCTCTAAAACGCTATAGGCATGCTCAGCAGGGCAGTTTTTCATGCCGGTACACCATTAGCTATTTTACAAGGCGCAAGTTTATCCTCACATGGCGTACTGTTCTCACCTTTGGACCGGGGCACGATAATGCCAGTGCCATGCACTTGACCGCATCCAGCGAAGAGTGGCTCGAATCGTCAACGAGTTCTTTCTAATCGACTGGATGCACTGACGCTGCGAAGAGATGTTGTATCCCATTGCATTTCCTATCGCATTTTCCACGCGGAGTATTTAGAAAAATTGCAACAATGCACATCGGGACGAAACTCACGGTACTATCACACAATCTGGATGCTGGGCGGTCTAACCGTGTCTATACGACTTACAAGTTTTTATTCTCGCCAGACTTCTTTGTGGAATCATCTGCCACTGGAGATTTTCTCGGACCGATACGACTTTGAGACCTTTAAGAAACAAGCTTATTCCATTAATTTTCCTGGCGTTGCTGGTGTTTATGAGTTGATGGTCGACACATACTATCAGTAAAATTTGATTTAATGTAGGCGGACGAAACAGCTGGATGGAGGAAAGCTAGAAAAATATAAAAATGTAGATAGCATATTAGTGGGCTGGGCAAGCACAGAACACGCCGGTGTGGGAGGGGGCGCATATTCACCGCCACGCGAAGTAACACCTCGCTTATACAGGGCTATTTTGCAATTTACGCCCAAATTTGCAGAAAAGTTTCAGAATAAGTAATATAGGCGACTGGTACTAAAATTTAATTTAAACACAATCTCAAACATTCTGTCCTTTTTATCAATTAAGTTCAGAATGCGTTGTAATGCATTGTTTTTATCTGGTTGTCATTCATAAATATCAAACGCCTACTATTTTACTACGCACGCACACATTCGTAAGGGTCTCGCGGTTGGTAAAATTTTTGTAAAATTAATGAAATACAAATACCTTTACTGCTGTGTTCAGGCACAGCTTAAGAAGAATATACAGTCAGTCATCGCGTTTGATGTTGTCGGAAAAGCCGACATAAACAATAAATTGCTAGGGTTGTCCATTCTATAAATGGAAAGTAATTAAAAACTTATTTTATTTTATTTCACGTTCAATCAAACTATTAGGGTTTAGAAATAATAAAAATAGGTTATAGGACCAATAGTTTTTTTTACCGCACATGTTGTGTTAACCATTTCAATTCATTTACGTGACAGGACAACTTTAGCGGAGAGCTCTGAAGCAGCCATTAGTCGCTTAATTTATTTGCATGACAGGACAACCCCAGCGGAGAGCTCCCGAGTGACTAACGGCCGTTCGGAAGCGCTCCGCCCGCGTCTCGCGCCGAACCGCAACGGACGATTGTCACCCAGACGCCGTCGATGAGCGACTGTTAGGCGCCGTCCTATTGCCATCGCTAGCGCGACGATGTGATGCGATTTCATCGTCCGATGAATCCGCTCGCGCGTTTATAAATCGTGTGTCCTATTTTGGAGCGATGCGATCACTCTCGAAATGGCAGTTTTTTCTGTCGAGCAATATTTCTTTTAACAGTGAATATCATTAAAAAAGAAAACATATACCACAAAATATACTGTATAAAACGGAAGTCAGTGCGATGAATTTCAACATCAGTATTTCGACGTAATATTAATAATATTATATAATATTTGTCAGTGTCAACAGAAATATTTGATTTCATCTGTAATTTAGTATATATACAGTAATTCATAATGGCAGGCGGTCGAGCCTAGCGCACGTCTTGGTGCCCCTCCCTTGCCTCTACCCCTCGCGAGCTCCATTAGGACATTCAGTATTGATTAGTACTCGTCCGATCTATACGATGCGTCGATAATCGCACGACAAAAACTAGACACTTCGGTCGCATCGCAAGATCGCACGACCTTCTATACGACATTGCGCAGATATGAGTATGTTTAAACGCACGGTCGCTCGATCATTTTCGTCGGACGCACGCGAGCGTTGGCAATAAGACAGCGCCTTACAGTTAGACTGTGGTTCAGGTCTGAAGGGTAAAGAGAACAAGCAGGCAGTTCTTTGTTTAAAGGAAGCTGCAGGTATCCATGAACTACAGTACACTTATTTTTGATTATACTGTCTAGCTAGTGTTGCGCTACAATCGCAACAAAAACGACGGGTCCGATTTCGAACGCTTGTGTTCCTCTTAACACACACATAAGTATGCGTAATTACTATTATGGTCACGGGCAGAGACCAAGAGTACTGTAAAGCGTTCGAAACGTCGGGTATTTAAAAAGTAAAATATACGCGATAAATTCCGTAAAAACTAGTATTATTTCAATGTGTAGTGTTCGCGTAAATATAAGAAAAGTGCTCTTGGTGTTAAAATATGGTTTTGTCACATAATTGCGACACAATTTAACAGCACAAACCGGCATAATTAATTATTTTCCGTGAGCATGTTATCTACAAGTGATTTAAATGACACTGACGCAGATAAGAAGCGAGTCTACCAATTTTAGTCGACTTTATTTGGGCCGTTCTGTACGGACAATGTGGCATCTAGACAGGTATATAATCAAAAACTCTTATCATCACGTAGAATGTAATTTCATTTGACACTACAGTTTCATTAAAAAAAATTGAACATTCTTAACCTTATGAAAAAAAGAATGTTAAGAATGGTAAGGTAAGCTTAATCATTTCTGGTTTTAATTTAATCAGGCAACCTACTTTTTGTTTGAAATGCTCATAATACTATAAATAAAAATTAAGAATCTAAAATAACTTACAGGTGGATGCGGTGGATAAGGCGGTTGTAAGACACCATTATTGTTGGCACCGTTGAGTGATGCTTTAGGTAAGCACCGGACCAATTTTGTGCAGAGGCCGTCTGCGTCTTGAAGATAATGCTGTAGAAAAGAAAGCTACTTTAACTAATAAAAATATAAGCAAAGAAATGAATTACTTTTACACAGTAAATGACAACAAATAAAAAAGTTTAATATTTACAATAGAATAAATTTCTGTCCTGGGAAGAAGCAGCAGTTTATTGTCTTTACTCAGGTGGACTCTTATTTGTCATAATTAACAATAAAAGCCTGTGCACATTATACTCCACCAAATCTAAGAAATACCTTTTGACATTTCACGTTAATCATTCCGCAATAACTATATGCAAGCATACTCACACAATTTCAAATAACGTAATCTTTTGGTAAATCCAAAGAAATATGGAGTTATCTATATTTCATTACAGCATGTATAGTTCTTTATCACTATCTTATTAGAATTTTTTAAACAAAGTAAAATATAGAAAATGTAACCAGAATCAATTTTTTGGTTTGACGTTTTTTTAATATGTCATTATGTACCTAATGTAGTATTTGAATGATTAAAGTTATGTTTATGCGAATAATCGGTAAAAATATTTTTATTAACTTAATAATATCATTACATTTATCAACTTATTCAGTTTTTAGAATTAAGAATTTGAATTTAATTTAGTAATTGTTTTTTAGCATTTTTATTTTTAGAGTTGTATAAAAAATGAAAAAGTCTAATTGTTTAAATAACTTCTGTGCATCATACTGCGGCGAAGTTGCAAGTAAGTTTTGAAGATGTCGACTTGTGCAATGATAGTACAATCATTTGAAGCAATTGAAAAGGAATTGGCTTCTGATAAAAAAATTATAAAAACTCAAAATACGTATTACATGAACGCAAAAAATAACATTTTTATGAGAAATTAAAATTACCAATTGGGACGTTATTTGACGTCATTGATTGAAAATGGCCAAGCACACTGTGACGCAGACATGAATTTCATATGAAAGAGATATTAATTTTGAATGCATTACAGACAATCAAATAATAATAAATGTAAACAATGATGACGACAGCTCAACTAGTTGTGGTGAGAGTGATTAAATAAATTTGTTTTTAATTTAGTACAGTCTTTAAATATTTATCTTCAAAAATTAGCAGTAAGCAATTAATATGAAGGAACTGATAAATTTTGTATTTTGAGTTATCTGTTTCTCTTTTATTATGTTAATAATCTAAATAAAACTGTAAATGATTACCAACTTGAACAAATCGATATCGATTTCTCTTAATAATAGAATATGTAGGTACCGATTTTTCAGTTGAAATGCCCATAAATGTGACAGCTGTCAACAGGCATCTCTTAGATCTGGTGGAATATATATGCAGATGTACCTTATCCATTTTATCTGGTTTTTGTTGTAGAGTCTGGTAAGGTTATCATTGTCCACATTTCTAAAAACAACTGCAAATCAATAACTTCATCGTTACAGCTTAAACAAAGCCCTCTGCTGAACATAGGCCTCCCCTATTGATTGCTTCCTTGGGGAGGGGGGAGAGGATATTTTTCATAGCTGTCACGCTTGGAAGACAGTTTTTAATTATTTGTTAATAGACGTGCAGCAGCACTAAATTATCAAGTATCAAATATACTTACGTGTATTAAATCGGTCATATTGTCGAAAAACTCTTCATCGTCGATAGTCAGACGTTGTGTTTGGCTATCAGGAGCTGTTGCCCATTTTACTCTGAAAATTATAAAAATGTTTAAAAATTATTAGACAGCATTATTTTAAATATATATATATATATATATATATATATATATATATATATATATATATATATATATATATATATATATATATAGACAAGGAATACTAAGAGAGTACCGTATCGTGATCCTCAATCTGAGCTTGTAAAATAAATTAACCTGCAGAGATACACCCAAGAGCTAACTAACTGAAAAGCACAAACGAATGTTCGACTATTCTTTTTGGCGGTAGTTTTGTTATAATACTAGCATGCAAAACGAGCTAACAGTGAAAATAAGAAAGCCACAGACGCATGTTGTCACTTTTAAGGAGTACGGTCAAATGCATTTTACAAGTATTTATACTGGTTCTCTTCACCCTTCAAAGCGAAAAGTAGCAGTAGTTGGACTGCTTTTTGACGGTGTGCAGTAAAAAACAGATGTATAACCGGAATTTGAAAATTGGTAACGATTGATTGTGTTGACATTTATACGTGTGAATTGACGTGTTAGTGACATGTTAGTGGCTACACGGGCTCCGCCCACTCCCCCGTTCTATTATGTATGTATTATAGTGTTCTATGAAAACAAATGAAAAATAAAACTAACATCCATCTATCCATTTTAATTATTTTTTGGCATAAATGGTGAAATGAACATTAATTTTCTTAATGGCGTACTTTTGTGTGTATAGGATATGCCATCTCTGTCTAATCAACGTGTGTAAGCAACTTGAAAACTTCCACAATTTCAGCATGTATTCAAATAAAAAATATAGCGTTAAATAGATCGTTATTACTCAAAGATACGTTATAAACTGCGTGTAATTCGACCACTGACTTTTTTTTTGGAACTATGTTTATATTATATTATTACTTCTGATCAATATTTGTCTGATTAAAGGTATTTAATTCGTTTAAAAAACACATTTTTATTTTCTATTACTTCCCGTTGTGACAATTCTAGCAATTTTATTGTTTATGTCAACTACTCCGACAACATTAAACGCGATGACTGACTGTATGCTCTTCTTAGGCTATGACAGCATGAACGTGGGCGTTGTGAGCACGCACCGGTAGTGCTCGACGCGGCCTCGGAAGCGCACGCAGAGCGTGTGGTCGCCGGGGAAGTTGGTGCTCTCGCGCACGAGGAACACGCCGTCCGGCGAGCCAGACAGCAGCGCTTCGGCGCGCTCCCGCGATATCGCGCCGTGGTGCCACCTGCAGTTTGCACATTCATACATTATTTATCTGTGCTATTATACACATTCTATGTTCATAAAAGATTAATATTCATAAATGCAATAAATAGATAAATAATAATGTAATGAAATTGTAACAAAACAAAACACGATCAATACAATTAACTACATAATCTTAATACATATATGTATAAATTTTAACAGATTTTAATCAAATTGGCACACCGTATGCAGTTTGGTCCAACTTGAGAGATAGGATTTTGTTTTTGCCCATGAATGACCCAAAATTTTTTTGCGATTCTAAGTATTTTTAATAGGACATGACAAAGGGTCGTCGAAAAAGGCAACAACGTCTGCCTGGCAAGCTAGTATTTTTATAAGTTGACGATGGATACGGGCCTATTCAAATATTCGTTGAGTAACAAACATTTTGTTTGCCCTTATTCAACAGTAAGTTTAGTCAGTAACTGATTGATATATGACGTGCTCGATGGACGATGGATGCCTAGCGCGTCTATTTGTTAAGATGGTTCGCCTGGGGTCTTTTTTTTAAAAAAAGAGACCTTTTACTGCTGCAAATCTAATTTAATTTAATTACACTTCGAAATATTATAAACTATAAGAAAGTTGTGTACCGAACAAAGGTTAGTTTCACTACTTAAATTATATGAAAAATCACTTTTATATACCTTACATAATGTTTACAACAGCAATTACTACCTAGTACATTTGTTCATAGCACATCGTCCATCTCCCAAGTCTGTAGATGATGATTACAAATGCGGCTTTTTTGGATACATTTTGCACCATTCTTCGGCCATCAATGCCTTGTCCATGCAGGTGAAGTTTTCACAACTTACGTAGTTTATTTTCCAAATGGTTACACTGAATTTTTTTATAGAATAAATTGTTCAAGATATAATAATTACTGAACAAATACTAGCTACTCGTAAAAAATCGAATATCCAAACGCCGCACTCCTTACTAAGACACTGCTCCCTGTACATTTAGCATATCTACTTCTACTTCTTCACCATAACGAAAAAATTACAATTAATTTTTTTACGTTATGGTGAAGAAGTAGAAGTTTTATAATTACAACAATTATAAAACTCTTATTTGTAAACCTAATGTTGTGTTAATTAATTTTTTTTTTGATTTATTATTTTTACTCGTATATTATACCATTTTGTATATTAAAATTATACAGAAGATACAATAGAAAATTTAAAGCAAAATATTACTCGCAATCGTTATATGATGTCAAAGATGAATTTGTATTTTCCACTTGGTCCTCATTTGAACACTCACAAACGTCACTCTCCATAGTTCACTGTGCGACTGTGACGATTGTGAGCTCCACCTCTCAGATACGTGTTAGATAGATAAGTCACGAATCTTATCTAAATACACTTTTGATATTACTCATTTCAATTACTAACATAATCGCTACATTATTTATCTATACAAAATTATATCAAAAATGTTCAAACTTGGGCGAGCCCGCGTGAAGTACTTTTGCAATTAACAGACTTCTTTATACATTTATGTGACTAAAGTACTTCTAAAACGCTGGACCAATTTTGATAAAGTTTTTTGTGTGTGATTAAGTTAAAATCAACAATAATTATAAAGAAAACTCTTAAAACGAGTCGCTTCGTAGCTCATAAATTAGCGAAATAGGACTGATTCTTTTGTAGTTTATGGCTTTTTATTATCATTGATTCCAATAACTAGTTAGACTAAGGTGATAGAACGTATCTACGAAAAACGCAACGTAGATTTTTGCAGTCTTTACCGGCGCTTGTAAGTATAGATAGCGACAATGTGCGAGCGAGAGGTGAATAGATGCGACGCCATTTTCAATCGTATTCTTTAACTACACGGTATTAAATACAAAACTTCATCCACATCGTTAGTCTTAACCGAGAAACTAATTACATATATATACAAGAATTACTTAGAAAATATAGGGATGGGGCTATGCGTCATTTTATAAAATATAAAATCAAACAGATAACTTTTCTGGTGAAATAAAATCTGTGAACAGAACATGGATCCATGGGAAAAGCTTTGCAGACTTCGTCTTTCAAAAAAATTGAATGTGATATAACGATTTACTATTTGCAACACATTACACGCCCACTCGAGTTTTAAGGAGAGAAAAACAGAAAGTTATACCTGCATTAATAGACTTCAGATTTATTTATTTAATCATCGTATCGTATCGTATGGTGGTGCGGTGGTGGGAGCGTAAGAATGAATAGAAAAATTATCTCATTTTGTCGCCCTAAAAGTAGACTGAGGAAAATGGTAGCAAGGTAAAATAGTCTCCAGCAGCTTGTCATATATTCTCGACTCTCTCGATCTATACTCGATAAGATTAAACTTAAAAATACTCAAGCCAGTGACGAGCAGCATGTAACATGAGAGGAATCTGCCAGGCTTTGCGATTACAACAAAACCTGAAAGGGTTACATTGTAATAGTTCGAGATCTTCCAGTCTGAGTCTATTTATGGAAAGATAATGTATTTAACTGATTGGCTAATTATCAGTAATTTGCTTTAGTAATTTATATGTTTTTACTTGCTTACATGTCTCACAATGTATATAATGTCGAGCTGTTACGTAGTCTTTATAGCTTAAATATGTTCAAGGAAATGGTTTTAATCTTAAATGTATGTTTATAGTATGTATATAAAATTGAATTGATTGATCGAATAAAGATAATCGATATGAAATACGTTCAACGTATTGATTTCCTTATCATAAAAGGTTCATTGATTTACATGCATGATAAAATAGAAATTTCTTGATTTCAAAAAATATAAGATGAACACACTCGAATTTTCTTCCGTATTTTTATATTAAGAATTCAAAGACTACCATTTTTTTTTTAATAAAGACGCTATTTTAAATTTTACTTTTCAGAGTGAATAAGCGTCCTGTTTTACTGAATTTGGCACGGAACACTATAAATAAGCTCGCAGTTCACCTGTTGATATAAGTGGCAACTGCGGTCCATCGATTTAATAACTTCAAGTAAAGAAATCCACAGGTGCATTGCATTGTCAATCCTGAGGACTAAAATATAACGCCTCATACATAGCATTCGAAAAATTGGGACAAAACTCCTTGTCCTCCTTCTTCCTTCTCCTTGGATATACCTCAGAACTTTTTTGCCAGTGATGATTTACGAAATTGAAAATTGGTTTTTCAATACCATTTCACTTCATACATTACATTTCACAATCATAAGAGGAAACTTACAAGTCACAGCGAGCTATAGAGAGGGCTACGCTCGTACTTCGTTTACCTGATAACATAAGTAAATAACGAGGATATCCGCAGAAGAACAAAAGTAACTGACTTAGCCTAGCAGATCAGTCCGCTGAAGTGGCAATGGGCCGTCCATTTAGCTCGAAGAATTTTCAAACTAATACCATTCCAGACGGACCCTTAGGCAAAAGAGGAGTTCATAGTAGCAGACCGTGAACAATGAGAATATATATTTACAAGTAAAACGTGATATACTTACACTGCGACAAACAAAAAATGAATGAACTGATAGTAATTTACATTATGTATCGTTTATGCGCCTGATCTTCCTCCGATCGTGTCGGGTTGCCGGCCCATATGACTATGAGAGTGTGAGAACAGAGAGTGCATCTGTGTTTGCACACACATTTGTGCACTATAATCCTGTCCTGCGCCCAAAATTCTTTCTGAATGATATTATATCCTTTATACACATAATCACATATCACTTATATTTATAAAAGATTTTTAATATGCGCATACTCTGCACGCTAAGCAGCATGATTCATGAGCAAGGAACTGATTGTTTACGCAGTTGTCCACATCATCATTTTTGTCTCGTCAACGTCTCGTTCAACATTTAGCAGCAGCTGATGAGGACATTTGAAGAAATTCTTATGTACTACAATACAGCTCTTTTATGACTTTTCTTAAATTCTGAGCGATTTCTTATAATCTCGAAATGAAATTAACCAAAATTTTCCCTCTGTGGACATAGTGAAAGCTTATAGAAAACAAAAAAAAATAATAATGCACTTACGGCCACTGCGTCATGTTGACGAGCCTGTTGGCGGCGGAGGGCGGATTCTGCGTTGAAGAGTTGACCAGGATGTCGCTAGCGCCCTTGCTCACCACTAAAATAAAATACAAATAAAACGTTCGTTCATCATCATCATCATCATCATTACAGCCCTTTACAAGTCCACAACTGAACATATGCAAATGTGCCACAAATCTTGGTCGTGGGCCACCTACATAAATTTATTTTAGGTTTCCGATTTTTATAATAATGCACTTTTACAACTTTTAAAATACAAAATCAAATCAAAATCACCTCAATTGCCATGCTGATGAAGAACTTAAGTAATTGACATAGTGTTTCGTTTATGTAAACGAAAGTAGGAATGGGCTAATTATATTTCTTGCATTTGTGTGGAGAGGAAAAAAACTTTAAGACTCAAGTAATGTAAGATTCGCTAGTAAGATATAACAAAGAGATGTATGAAACCGTAAATCAAGTTACTTCATTCACTTTGAGATAATAATGATCTAAACGAAACAACTGTGTTTGACCGATATGCCTTAAATAATGGATTTAATAATTAAAAATTGGATTGATGATCGCAGAACCCGCTTCTTCCTGTTCCCGCGAATTAGCAAAACTAGATAATAAAAAAAGTACCGAAACTTTCCTCGGATTTGACATAATCATTCTTTAGAATAACCGGGGAACGAAGTGGGGTGATTGGGATCACTTATATTGTTATCTTTTCTATTATGGATGAAAGCTTTATTCAGCAGGCATCTGTTCACAAGATGATTAAAAAGGAAATCAGGTGATAAGCAATTGCTTAAGCTAAGGATTTCGAATCGCATGTATTGAAAACAGCCATCAATATAGCGGGTATAGGTAGATACAGATTTAAGCATATAAACGAGTGTTGTGCTTGCCACAATCTCTTACCTGCTAAGTTGTTTACTTGTCACCTTATCTCTTGATCGATTGAGATGCGGTTTGCGAGGTTCTAAAGATCTCAATGCGGAATAGATTTGTTGATAATATGAACTAATTCGGACGAGTAGATTTCCAGAAATCTCAAAAAGTAAAAATTTTGAAAAACTATTTTTTGGAATAACTTTTAAACGGCTTTACCGATCGATTTCAAAAAATCAGCTCTTAACCTCAAAAAATGACGTCGAATGCCGTTTGGAAAATAAAAATCGGTTTAATCGTACGTGAGATATCGAAGGAGAAAATTTAAAAAAAAACGTTTTTTTTTTAACATAACTTCGCGTTAAGTTCCAGAGATGGCCTGCTAGTAGTTAGGTTGTACCAGTTCTGGCGCACTTGTAGAAAGGTTGTACCAGTTCTGGCGCACGACGTTCGTCGACTCACAATCCTAAAAAAAAAAGGTTTTGGCATGCTCTGATCACGAATCTGCGGTCCATTTTTGCGTAGGATGCACGGTTCCGGAGATGTGCAGATCAATTAACTCTTATCTAATTGATATCCGCTGCGAGCCTCAACCGTCATTAGCGCTCCATTGTCCTTATCTACTTATCTATTGTTGATTGACTACCGTCATTATCTATTATTCGTCAGCGTGTGGGTCGGCTTATGCTATTGTATTATACTCCTTTGTTCCTATCTACAACACTAATCTGAATCATCAATAAAACACATTACCTAATTTTGTTAAAATTTTTATTTATAAAATACAAAATCTTATTACTTATTATCTATAAAATAGGAGCGAAACATCTCATCCACTAACATATCGTTGTACAATGTGTTCTCTGTAAATATACTCGTAAAACTATGCATTGAACATCCCTGAAACTTATATAGCAAATACATTAAGCAATATTCGCCACAAACTGAAGTCCTATCAACATTCCAGTTCCATCTTTTAAACACATTACCTAATTTTGTTAAAATTTTTATTTATAAAATACAAAATCTTATTACTTATTATCTATAAAATAGGAGCGAAACATCTCATCCACTAACATATCGTTGTACAATGTGTTCTCTGTAAATATACTCGTAAAACTATGCATTGAACATCCCTGAAACTTATATAGCAAATACATTAAGCAATATTCGCCACAAACTGAAGTCCTATCAACATTCCAGTTCCATCTTTTACAATTTCGTACAGGTGCCCGTCCATATGAATCAAAATATTCACCGACGTCATTCGTATCGATATATAAAGCTACCCAATGTGACCCTGGTTTATCATCTGTACCCAAATTGCATATTACCTAGTCAGGTCATAAATTCTATCACATGTTTAATGTAAAATAATTGAAACAAGTTTATTCATTATGTAACCATTTATATACCAAAATGAACTTAACAAAACATAGATTCTTATGACACTATAGTTTATTCAAAATGACCTCCGTAATTTTGAATACAGGCCTTCAATCTGCGCGGCCAGTCGTCTATCTCACCACGAACGAGGTCCATGTCATATCGGCGGCTGCCTTAATTAAAGATGTCTTGAGTGACTCGAAATTGGGATGAGGCTTTGAGCACGCCTTTTCCTCCAAGTGTTACCATATCTTGTAATCTAACGGATTCAAATCTGGACTGGTCTTTGTGTCGGATGAAGTCGATTTCACGCGCCGCCAGCCAGTCTTTTTTTTTTTGTTTTTAAAGAACGTTACCTCCACACTAGGTTTTTCTCCCGTATCGTGGGGGCAGTTTACAAACACAAATTTCACAAGGACAAACATCCAAACTCGGAACAATTACTTGTAGGTCGTACAAATACTTGTTCCGTGCGGGATTCGAACCCGCGACCCCCAAGCGCAGCCACTCATTGCTAAGCCACTACGCCACGGAGCTGTCAAAAGTCTTGTGTGCTCTTCGCTCTATGAGCTGACGCCGAATCTTGTTGGAATACCCAGTGCCTGTTATTGAACATGGTATGAGAAACAGGTTACACAAGGTTCGTCAGGACTGTATTTTGATACACAACTGCATTCGTTTTTAACCTTTCTCACAAAAATGTACCTCTGTTAAGCCCCAATAAGAAACTCCCAACCATACCATGAGCGAGGATGGAAAATGACCTCGTTGGACACGCGGAATACGGTTGCTCGCTTCTTCACTACTGTGTGCGTACACCTTATCATTTTGTTTGTTGTAGCTCTCTTCTACGGTAAAAATTTTTTTATCCGAAAAAAGAATTTCCCGATATTTTTTCCCGCGTACCGCTTCACCAAAGCGCGGCATCTCTTCAGTCTCAGATCCATTAGACGAGCATTCAAACGATGTCCTGTTTTTCTTCGATATGCCCGAAGCCCTAAGTCTTCATTTAACGCCGTGGTTCTGCTTAACCCCATCTGAAGGGCCAACAGTTTCTGCTTACGTTTGGGATTTCTTTGAATTCGCACCTTTACAGCTTTTATCACTGCTGGAGTCCTAACAAATCGAGGGCGACCACTTCTTGACCTGTCATCTACACTAGAGTCTTCATTGTATCGTTTGATGGTACGATAAACGAATCTTTTGGTTATATTCAAATTTTTCAGTATATCAAAAAATTTTATTGGCGCGTAATCGCAACTGCAACACGGTCTTTTTTAAGCGTCCACTCCATATGTAAAAATGAGTAAAATTCTAAAAAGTATACAGTTTTATTTTCATGAACAATTCGAATTCAATAAACTTTTTTGTGGCCAGCATTCTAAAAGAAAAGTTTTTACTGTGTGACAATACTTATGACCTGACTAGGTATATACGTTGGTACGTGGGTGTACATGGGCAGTCTGTTAGCAGCATAAACATTATTTTCTAGACTGGGGTGAATCTTTTTCAGATGTTGTTGTACATCTAGTGTATCCATGATATTACTGCTATTAGTAGATTACTACAGTACAATCTACTCAATGACTAACATAGGAATGATCAATTATGTGATTTCTAAATATTAAATTGCATTTTTTCTGTTATACAAAACGTATTTGAGTCATCAATACACTGAATAAGACGCAACACGAAGAATGTGAGATAAGGTTGTTGACGCATAAAGTTATTATCAATTCTACTGTAGAAATTCTTTAGATTAGAATTATTACTTACTGGTACTATATAAGACCAAGCAACTGCAGTCATGGAGTTAGTGTATGGTCGTTTGACCGCAGTGTATCTATCAATAATACATTTGCGTTACTTCAACGCATCAAAGGCCATAGATGTAAGTGTTTAATCTATTGACAAACTTACTTTTCTTTCTGTTATTTTTTTACGTGTGTATGATTTTGAACGACAGGCCTGTTGGTCTAGTGGTTAGTGACCCTGACTGTTATGCCGGAGGTCGTGGGTTCGATTCCCACCCAGGACAAATGTTTGTGTGATGAGCACGATCATTTGTTCTGTGTCTGGGTGTAATTTATCTATAATATTTATGTATTTAGAAATATATAAGTATGTTTATCAGTTGTCTAGTACCCATAACACAAGCTCTGCTTAGCTTGGGACTAGATGGCGTTGTGTGATAGTTGTGGAATATTATTATTATTATTATTATTATTAGTGTTAACAAATTATATTTAAATATTTTGTGTGTGTATATGATTAAGCCGTGGTAGCTCAGATGGTTAGCGCAAGCTGTAAATTTTACAGTACGTAACGCGGGTTCGATCCCCGCCGACACCAATTAAATTGTTAATTGCAATTTTAAGTGTTTATTCTATTGACACACTTACTTTTCTTTCTGTTATTTTCTTACGTGTGTATGATTTAGTGTTAACAAATTATATTTAAATATTGTGTGTGTATATGATTAAGCCGTGGTAGCTCAGATGGTTAGCGCAAGCTGTAAATTTTACAGTACGTAACGCGGGTTCGATCCCCGCCGACACCACTTAAATTGTTAATTGCAATTTTAAGTGCTGATTTACCACGTGCTCGGCGGTGAAGGAAAACATCGTGAGGAAACCTGCATGTCTGAGAAAATTTCGAAGGCATGTGAAGTTCGCCAACACGCATTGAGACCGCGCCGCGGACATTTCCTAGCCATAAATACAACGACAACAGCAGAAAGTAAAAAGTTAAAAAATACTTTTTTAACAATGACAGTCATTAGTTGATCATTAGTGAATGTGATTCTGTTTTCTT